AAAAAAAAAAAAAAAAAAAAAAAAAAAAAAAAAAAAAAAAAAAAAAAAAAAAAAAATTGAATTAAGAGTCCAAAAGGAAGCGTTAAATGTTCCACTCTTATAACTTCTCTTTGAAATGAGGACTCAAAACTATTTCCTCCATCTCTGTTAAACAAGAGATAAACCAAAACTCTACCCCAGAAATCTGTGATGGTCCCGATTGTAAATGTTTATTTTAGGAGGGGCAAGAACGGAAATACATTATCCCCTTAGAACAGGTATGTGTTAAACACTAGGTGTACAACGTCCTATATTCATGTGCTTATTGAGTAGGGCAATTTAGTCTAAAAATAAATGACAAAAATAATAATAAAGTGAAATACATCAAACTCATTTTTTCAGCATATAAATGCATAAACTTATTGATTTTAAATTTCTTTTTGATATTAAAATTATGTATACTATATCAAATATAAATTTTAATAAACATGTCCTTGTTGCGTTGGAGTTCTAGTTTTTTCTTTTTTATAATAAAATGACAAGTCATCATGTCGTGACTCATATCTATATCCATACTTAGGTTTTTATAATCCTCCCAAAATTGAGCTCTACTACCATCCCCCATAAAGAAAAGGTAATGAAAGGGAGGAAACTTGGGAGACCGGGGGGAAATAACCTTCCAAGGACTTTTGAAGGTGCCCTTAGATAGTGCCTACATTTCAATTATTGAGATGAAGCTCACACATGCACATAATTGTCAAAGCAACAAAGCTCGTGGTTAAAAAGGTATGACCGTGACATATGCACACTACACGCACACTACACTAACCTTTCTTTGGCACTGGATCCAGGTACAATACCATGCTGCAAAGCTTGGAGGATCAAAATCACTGCATCCACATTTGTTGAAGTCTCGTGGAGGGTTTCTTTTGTTGTTATCCTAACTCGATTGTGGTACTTGGGAGTCAAATAAATTTTGTTGGGTTATTTGAATTTGGCTCACACTTGTGAAGGGTTGAACAATTGAAGTATATTTTAGTTGTCTTAATGCTCTTTGTATCCATTTCTCCCAACACCTAAGTAGATTTGACTTGAGGATAATGGGAGTGGGAAACTCAAATAAGACAAGGAAAGAGAAACAAAGAACCTTGCACCTACAAATAATAGTTCACCTTCTTAGTTGTCTACATTGCAAATGATCTTGAATAAAGGACACTCATCTCTCTTAAATTGAATGCTGAACCTTTTAAGATCAATACGGGTAGTTTGAATATGACTTTCATATTTTGGTCGAAAGCATATGTTTTAACTAGGTAAACCACATTCATTCATTTGCTGAACATTAGCTCAAAAAAATTTCGGATGTTAATCAAATAACACAGCGTCAATAGCAAATTGTAAAGGAGATATGGGCATTGTTCTGGCCAACCATCCCCTCGTTACAAATTGACATAGAACATCTGCTGCAATTATGTATAAAGAGAAATTGACATAGAACATCTGCTGCAAGTAGTTTCAACATTCTCTGTTTGAAACCGTTACTGTTTTTTCGATATTATATTGTCCAAAATGCCTAACTCTCGTGATCATAAACCTTCTCAAAATTTATGTTTAAAATGATACCTTCGAACTGTTATCTATTAAAATATTATTTTGAACGTGCCTTCTCCAAACAAAGTCCTCTTGTTTCAGTGAAATCAAGACAAAAGAGAAGGGATTCTCAACCGGCATGGAAAAAGAGGTACGATCTCACTTACCTTTGTCACTCAAGTGTATATATAGAGCATATGCCGTTAAATGTCAACCAGTGTGAGGCTTAGAGCCCCTCTTCCTTCAATAGGTACTTCCAATGCGTCAACCGTTCGGAATCCGTCTTCTACAAAGAAAAGCCTGTTACGAACAAGTGAGAAGGTTTTTAAAACTGTTTACCGACCCAAAGCTCAATGAAACTCTAATGTGCATAGTGCCCATGGAGTGATTTTATATAAGAGAGTGGCAACACTAATTGACTTGGAATCAACTAGTCATTTTCTGGGAAGAGGCAAGTGAAAGTCTTATCCATTGCAGTGTGCACCGTATCTGCATATTGAACACTCAAATCATCTCTTCTTTCTTTTGTAAAGGAAAATCAAATCCCAACAGCATTGAAAGAACGCAACAATTAAGATTTTATAGTTAGGAGCCTTGCGTCCATTGCAATTATAAGCAACGCATTTCTTTTGTGTCTTCAGGAGGATAGTGCTGTTTGAAATACTCCTGCTCTTCCTTACTTGCCATAAACAGTGTCTATCATTTAATAAAATCCTTGCGTAAAAAAAACCTCATTTAAACATGTTTTCGAAAACTAAAAATAGCTCTTACAAAGAAGAAAATAGCAAGGAAATAAGTACAATTTTCAAAAATAAAACTAAAATGAAATGATTATCAAACAGACTTGACATAATGGATTTCTTTGACATATTTATCCAAAAGGAGTATACATAATAATAAAATGGATCATTTATTCTTTTGGTTATGGAATTTGAAATTTTAATAAGCAAACTTAAAAATGTATAAAAAGACTGGGAAAATAAAGAACGAAAACCTTCCAACCCTATTTACCAATTTTAAAACCTCTCAAATAATGTAAATATTAAAGTTAGTCACCTGATAAGATGGTAAGATGCATCGAAATACAAAAAATAATCTGAAAATGATCATCCAAGTGACTCAAGTCACCTAATAAGATGGTAGGACGTATTCAAGAGACAAGAAATAGTCCGAAAATGATCATCAAAGTTAGTCACCTAATAAGTTGATAAGATGTATCAATCAAAATTGTCAAAAAACGATTTTCCAAGTAGCCACCTGATAAGATAGTAAGATGTATCGAGATAAAACCATGGATAAGAAGAAACTTCAACATGAACTTTTAACTTTATTTCATATATAGATCATAAGTACATTTAGCTCCCCATCTCATCGCCAACGACTTCCTCATAACCTGATCAATGCTACACATTCAATGATCGAAAGCCTTGGCATACGACAATAAAAACTTAGAAACGTGATATTCAACGAAGAAAGTAACACATTACGAAACCCAGCATCCAGACAGTACAGGAACATTAACAAAAAAACAACAAAAATAAAAAGTCTTCTCGAGTTCAAATCACTAGAAAAATGGACTTTAACAGTCCGCATATGTTCCAAAGTAACGATCACCATATTCACAATTTTAGGTCGACACATTCTAACCAAAAGCATCACATAACCATTACCATTAATCACTTTTGCCACGAAAAGCATTTTCTTTCCATACTGTTTCAGATCATTGCGTTATGGACTAGATGATTTCAGTGGCACCTGCCAAGAAAGAGGAAGTTTCAGAAAATTGGACATATATATAACAAAAAGCAGTTTCTTGTACAATAGTTTCAAGGAAAAGACCAAATGAAATGAAACGATTGTATCTATTTTAATCCCTGATCTTTAAAACAGTTCATTACATCATTGACTTTTTAACTTTGGTTCTAAAAAGTCTATGCTTAACATCTTTACTCAAATGTCAACACATTAATCAAATGAATGACTGTGACACAACGTAGAAATAGGTGGCACAAAAGAGTCAATCCACTTTGTTAACTTGCCTCATTGTAAATTTTAGCTCATACGTCCTTATTTTATCCAATTAACTTACTCTATTGTGCCACATTATTACTGCGGGGTGTCAAATCATCACTCATTAATACGAATAACGTGTAAGTAATGATGTTAATGAGAAGAACTTCATGGAATCCAAATCAAAAGTTCAAGAGTGTAAATGGAACTTCTTAAAGTTTAAAAGACCAAATAGATACAACTATTAAAAGTTGAAAGACTAAAATCTGTAATTTAATATAAAAAAATTCAGTCAAAAAAGCAAAGACAGATCAATGGTCTCATCTCATGTCTACAAGCATAGCTGACTCATGGTGATGCATATTTAGACTTTACAATAAACAAAACGTCATCTTCTGGAAACTGCAGCAAGGTAAAACACAGTATCAGGTAAATCAAGTGTTACTTCAGTTAAGTGTCACTTCATTAATTTTAAGGTTATTGATCCATTTCCGCATATTTCATGTAATTTACTCTAAAATAGTATATATATAAAAATAATAAAAAATAAAAAACTTGTTCGTTTTTACTCACCTACCTCCCAATAGATATGACCTCCAGACCTAATGAAATGAGTCAACAAATTTTTTTTTCTTTTGGGTGGGGGTGAAGAGTCCAAGATTGTTTTCTTTTTTTTTTTAAATCAAGATCCTCACTAGTTTGAAAGAAACTGACTGAAGGAATAATGATCATGGCCCCCCACAATAAAGACCAGTATATTCAACATGGGCACGCCTGAAGAAGGGTTTTTCCAAGAAGATCAGCGCTTGAAACTTTAATTGAGTGATTGAATCTACTCAATTATCACTGGTACAAAAAAAAAAATTGAACAATAAAGAAACAGCAGGCCGAGTTCTTTGGTTTGACAATGTAGACTGGCTATTTGAAGCAAGGGATTCGTTTAAAGAAAGGCTTTCAACCAGGAAGTCAAATGTCCACATCCTTTTTGGGCCCCCTAAAATTTTTTTGTCAAGTCCACGTCCTTCTAACAACATCCAAATCCCCCTGAATGAACCAAATATGTCCCCAAAATGCCTAAAGCCCCATTTGATAACCATTTGGTTTTTAAACTGGAGCCTAAACCACTCATTTGGGACAAAAGAAAAATTAAGCAATTAAGTAAAAAAATGGGAGGATCTCTTTTTATTTGACCAAGTAAATTGGAGTTGGGTTTCCTCGTCCCGAAATTGTAGAACCAATGAAGATCTTTCTAAAGCTCATTTCCATCAGACGACATTGAATTTGAAATCTTCCCACATGCACGAACAATTGTCAGGAATTCCATACCAATCCTCCTCTAGATGCTTACAGTAGAGTAAAATTGGGGAAGTGGTTTGAGTCATTCCCAGCGTTGACTAGGTGATGGAATCGGCTCAAGCACTTGTTAGGGAAGAAATTGAACAATCGGGGTAAGACATTAGGAACTTTGCAACCAGGTAATCATCTTACTAGATGAGTAAGGTAAATCGTGCTCATCTGATTCTTTAGCAAAGTAACCTCTTTGAATTTTAATTCGTAGTACTTCAATTTTTAGAAGCTATAGCATGTTTCCATTTTTAGCCCACATTATCTAAGACTTGGGATTTAGAAGACTAAACAATTTAAACATCCCGAATAAAGTAACTGAGTTAAAAATGCAATAGCAAAAGGTTGTAATTTGATTTTAACCTTTAGAAACGGGAGAAAATCAATGAAAAATTTCATTTCTTGTTAAAAAAAAACAGGAGTAGTTCGATTCATTGACATGAAAGAGAGACGTTGAATTTTCATGTCAAAGTGAAACATTTAAAGGTTTTAGATTCAGTCTCTTTGGTTTTTCCATCATGCTTTCATGCTATTTTTGTTAGCTTGTTTCTCCCTTAGGCATTTTGCTCCTTATTATTCGATCTTCACTTTAGTATAACTTAGGGGAGTTTTCCATTTTTGGTTTGGTCGTTTGTTATCTTCACTAATTTTGGGAGTTCGTATCCTTCAACTTTTTCTTTATTTCATCTATCAATGAACAATTTGCTTCTTGTTCAAACATAGCGAGAGAGAAACGTTGAATTTTCGTGTATTTAAGGTCAAAGAACCAAAAGTCGATTGAAATTTAACATTAAAATCACAAGAATGAGAATAGAGGAGCAGAAAATGACCTTGCAAAGACTTGTTATTGTACTCCTCAACAAAGAATCTCCAACAACCAGTCTCAGCTGTTTTACAAAATCATCACGATGCATCTTCTTGGCCTAGAAAACGGTATCAAGATAAATAACATGAAAAGACATTGAAAGAAGTATGACATAAAATTAAAATTTCAACTTACCCTGAATTGTTCATATTGCATATTAATACGTTCCATGTCTTTAGAAGAAACTTTGTTACAGATAGCAGCAAACAACATGGAGAAAGGCATCCATGGAGACTTGGGTGTTTTCATAGAGTTGGAAGCAACACTAGCTGCTCTTTCCTGAGGTCTCCAATCATCTGGAGGTTGAGCATCGCCATCCTAAAAGATAAATAAATATTTGCAAGTAAAGTCAAGTGCTAAAGGATCAAATATTAAAAAAAAAAAAAAAAACAAATTCTGACTCAGTTTACTAAATCTCATTTTCAGGAGAACAAAAAAACATGAGCTGCAGTCTATATTTCAAACTTCCATAATGAATGACTGCAATGGTAGAGACATACATCAATTGATATATTTGGAGGCTTACCATATTAATTACCGATGACCCCAATGGTATCTGGCCAGGGGACGCTTGACAAGATGCAGTGATCCTCGAGATGTCATTGGTATGACTTTCAACTGCATGCATGAATCAGCATCAACAAGTGTTCAGAATAACATTGCATGTATTCATAAGATTCCAACTACTACAAATTGAGACCACCCAACAGTGTAGTAACATCCCTAAGAATAATATAACTGCCCTTGGGCAGAATTTGTAAAACTAATCAAGGAAAAAAAAAGAACGAAGTAATTAACTCCTCCAAACAAACAGTGCACCCAGAGAAGATGACCACCTTTGAGACTGGGTGCAACCTTAAAGCTGACAACAGATTCTGGATAGATGTGGGTGTTCATATTCATTCTCCATATAACGTAATATGTTGGTTTTGTAAGGTTATCCACTCCACTGTCAAAATCCTTGCCACTTGGATGGAATTGTCTACTTCCAGGGTGAAGAAGTTCCATGTTTCCCATTATTACACGGCAAAATACAAGATGTTGCACTCCATTGTCATCAATATCACAATGACTTGCACTGTAAATAAACAAAAGATAAAATCTTATGAAAGCAGGATAGTATGCCATTACCAAGAACGTAAAGGAAAAAATGAATTATGAGAAAAACCAGTCAACATGGATACATTATATGAAATTACCATAGCCAGATGAAGAATAAGCCAAACATGTAAGGAAAGTGGAAGTATGATAGGAAGAAAAATTTATGAGTTGTACAAGCTATAAAACAGATCCAGTGTTTGGTGTATTGCATTGCTTATGACAAAGAACAGACATGGAATGTATAACATGTTTGGCCATATTGATACCCTCGGTTCTAGAAAGATGCGAATGAATGGTTGGCAAAGAATCAGAGACATGAACACAAGCTGGTTGGCCATATTGATACTTTAGATCGCATTCAGAGGTCTTCCCCTAAGCTGGTTGGCCTAAGTGTTGTACCTTCCGTAGGAAGGATAATCTCTTGTGGTTTGCTTCTTTTTGTTCTTTCTGTAGGGACTTTGGAGGGTAAGAAACAATAGAAATTTAGGAGAGGCAGAGAGACCTTCATGCGAGGTGTTAAATATCATGTTTAGCTTTGTTGAAAATATCCTTCAAGTCTTGAATTCTTTGGAACCACTTCTTTGGTCAATTAGGCCCCCCTTGGGGTGTTTTTTGTATCTTTCATGTACTTGAAAAATTTATCTCAGTAAAAGTTGGCTTTTCACGGAAACAAAAAATGTTATTTTTAATATTAATATCAAAAAGGATTTTAGAATCGTTAAAATTAAAAGCCCATTACATTTAAGAGGAAGTGATAAACATTTGAAAAAGAAGAAAAAAGTTGGAGAACAATTTTGAGAAAAATGGTCTTTCCATAAGGTTCTTTATATAAGCTTGCAGGTTGGAGATAAAGTAGGCAAAAATTTAACAGATAAAAACGTTAAAATAGAGAGACAATATTTCTGAGAGAAAAGTTTATAGAGAAATAAAGTAGGGAGCATGATACGATAATTATACAGTAAAAAAGAAGTTGGGGAGACCATTTTTGGAGCGAAACAGTTAGAGGTACGGAAATTTTAGACAAAAAAATTGGGAGAGCAAAAGTTCGAGAGAGTGACAAAAAACTTGGAGAGAATCAAAGTTAGAAAGAGTGAAAAGAAACCTAGAGCCATCACCAAAAATTTAGAGAGAAACAAAATTATAGAAAAAAATAACTTATAAAGTTTTAAGGCAAAAATAGAATGAAAATTTTGAAATTTAAAGTAATGATCATTTTGGTAACCAATTTTCTGACCATCAATTGACAAAAATCACTTAAAAACATCTCCAAAAATCACTTTATGTACAAATGTCAAAATCCTTCCAAAAGAATACCCTTTTACCTACGTGAAGGGGCTAGAAACATGGTAAAAAAAATTGCAGAGTAGAAAAACTTAGAGAAAATGAAAGGTTGAAGTTGCAGCTATGAGCTAACAAACATCAGAAAAGCCATTTTTTTATGGGAAGCAAAGACTTAGTTCTTCTAACTATGAACTGGAAATCCAAAAAGTGGTAACAAAGTTACATTAAAATAACCAAGTATACATACATATATGTATGTATATAAAAGCCTCCTCCAATGGCAAAAATAAATAGGAGAGGAGCATAAGATTGAGGGAGGGGACTTGCCGAATCAACTTCTTATCCGAACCTATAATAAGCTGGAGAGAATAAGAGCCATTTGGTCCTTGCGAAATAATAAAAAGACTTGGACTAAATAATGTGCAAAAATCTTTCAACAAACTGCATTACCTAACTACTGGCGTGCTTTGGCTTGACCTTAATATTTAGCACCAAATGAATAGCATTTCATCATCCTAACTTAGAGGACCAGCTTCCTTAAGGTTGAGGGGCAGATGTTGTATTGTTCACAGTTAGCAGTCAGTAGTTGGCATTTTCTGTTAGTGGCTGGATAGTTAGTTATGCTAGTTAGCAGCCAGTATGATTCAAATGTAACCAACATTTGTTTATACGAGTTCAAAATCATTTAAAAGATAATTATTTTTCTGAAGAAATTTAGCCACCTGACATTCGAGCAATCAACGGCTGTGAGGTGAACACCAGTGCCATACATGGATTTGATTGAAGAAGCTCCCGAAAGCCCGATTCCATACATCGTCAAGCAAGATAGTTCTGTTTCAGAAACAGGAAGCCAAGCAAAACGAACATTTGCATCCCCTCTGTACAGTTTGATCATTTCTATGTGCTTATTGAAAAGCTCTAATTGAGACTGCGTTGAAGTATCATGGCAGTGTTTTATATTAAGTATCTCTAAACTACCATCGGAGTTCATTCCGTCGCGAAATATTTTCTCTACCGTTCTTGTATCCAATTCTCCGTTCACAAGTTCAATCCCAGAGGTGAGGTTCATATCCAACTCCTTTAATTTTGGAGCAACCTCATACGCTTTTCCAGTAGGTATTCTACAACAATTATCCTCAACTTCTTCAATATCATAGTCATAAGCAGGTTTTTCGTCGGTTTGGGACTGTTTGATATAATCATTTGACTCCCCACTACACAACTCCAAACTCGACTGGCCAACTCCATTTATTTCAATTTCCAACTGTAACTTGATAACATCGGACCCATGATTTCCTTCAACCTGTGGTTCTGTATTTCCAAAATCATTAGAATTGTAGCATTGACTTTTGTATGCACCATAAATCTCAGGGAAGAAGCAGCTCCCTGCTGCATCAATCCATCCAAGAGGTTGCTGCATCCCTGTATTTAAGTCCAAAAAAAACATATGCAAAAAGTCTAGCACGCAGTGCTGTCCATTAGACTTAATTTCTAAAGATGCTTTCTTTACCTGCAGAGTTTCCCCAGCCAAATCAAGAAGATCACGGGGAAAATTAATCCACTCACCATTTTCATAAAGCATTATTTGTTTTGGTATCCCACTTTTCATAAAATTTGAATAACCTCTGTACAAGGGTCTAAAACGAGTTTCAGAGTTTGCAAGTGCGCTACTACATCCACCTAGCTTCTGTCTCTTTCCCACGCTATTTAATGAAGTCATGGCAGGGCACTGATGTGCCATGCAGATAGGTTCTGTTGAATGTACACCAAACTGGGCAGCTCGCTTTCTTTTTAAAGCAAGTCCAACTTTCTGGCTACCCAATACCTTTACGATCTTGTCTTCCATTTTCACTAGCTAGTCTAATATCTAAATGCAACTTCAAATCTAAAAGTGTGTCACAAATCCAATGTGCGCCTTATACATTAACCGGACTTGTGAAGAAATTCATGTGAGAAACTTGGAAAACCCTGGAAAACGAAAATATAGCTATTAGATGAGGGAACATTAAACAATCATAAACATTAGACTAACTATGTGGACAAACATTAGAGCGAAAAAAATAAGAATAAGTGGTCAAATACAACTTTATTTTCCCATTTTGAGGACTTAAGCTAAAAACCTTAGATTGGTTGCTCGATTTCCCAGGTTTACTTCATGTGTATGGTGTGTGCACGAGAACTGTAGCTCGGAGAGTTGGAACATACCGGGAAATGTCAAGAAGCAATCTGCTGCACCCAAAAGCAACATCGCGGTAAACAAAAACAAAGCTATAATGTTAGAAACCATTGAAATTGTAAGTTAACAGCAAATTCACATGTCAGAAGGGTATCAAATAACAAAAAGTGATTTCCCAATGACACAAAATACATCCATAAGATTCAAACAAATTTTCCAAGAAAATAATTGCAGATACCTTCAAACAATTAAAAGAAAATGATAATAAACACGTCGCTTGACTACAAAACTCATACATATTTAGCACTCTGAGCCAAAAAGGCAGCCACTTATTTTTTAAAATTAGACTTTTTTCAGCAAGCATGATCTTCCAATCAAGATTAAGATGCTCAATTGAAACATAAGTTTTACTATGTGCATCAACACAGATCATGTGTAGAACACTTAATAGAAGGAGAACCATAAATACTTAGAAACAGCAAGAAACAATAACACCATTCAGGTGGGGGCCCTTAAAGGTTCTTTCATTAATATGAGGACGGTAATAAATAATATTACCATTCATACATATAAAGAATGATAAAAAGATTTTTAAAAATACTTTCTGATGACTGGAAAATTTTCAAAACTGCAAGAAGCAGCATAATTAAACATGGTGTCCAAAGAAATCGTGTGGGTTTAAAAATGAGTGAATGAAAAGAATAAACATGTAGATTAATGTTGGAGAAAATCTAAACAAGATCATCTACGTCAAATCTTCAATAAGAAGGCCCTATCAAATTCATCTTCTATCAAGGATGTCATTACGGCGTTACGCTTACACCATTTTTTTTGGTAAAATCCAAATTCATCAGGGATGAACTTCAAGTTGGCTGTTTTCTTTCTCTTTAGTTTTCAAAAACATCATCAAGTTTCATAGTCTGGAAGGCACTGGACATGATTCTCCAGGCTATGTATAGTGATGTGCTTAATTAAATGCATGGTGAAGTTGAAAACATGGATAAGTAGCAATAAATAAAAACAAGATGGTGATAAGAAGGAAGAAATGGGATTTTGTTGTTACATCAAAAGTGGTTGAGATTATTACTAAAATTTTAAAGTTCATTGATTCATCAAAAGGTAGAAAAATAAATATAAACAAAATCAGTATAACAGCGAGTTTCAACAATTTATGTTACACTGATATTAAAGTTGACCGTCAATTATTCCTTCCCCTCCAAGAAAAAAAATCATCCGATCCCCTCATACCAAAACTAAAACCTTGTTATGAGAAAATAGCTAATGAAAATTTCTTCGTCTAAGTTATGAATACCCTAATGAATCATTCAACTCAAACAAAACGAAAATTCACACACAACCTAAAATCGTGAAGAAAAATTAACCAAAAAAACTCAGATCGAACAGATCAGAGTCATCCGCAGGTTTTAATCCGCTTTGACTACAAAATTAATACTTCTAAACCAACGATCTAAATGCTGACACAAACAGAAGGATTAAAGCCTGAAAACACAACCAAATCACTGGTCGAAACTTCAGAAAAATTTCCAGAAAACAATAGAACAAAAATCTTACCCTTAACTTCACATGTAACAAAAAAAATAACATAACATGTGCTGGATTTCAATTTGCAGTAGAAAAGATCAAGAAACGAAGAACGAACGAAGAAGGGGAAAGAGAAGAAGGAAAAAAAATAAAATAAAACAAAACTAGAAAATAAAAATTATTGTGAAGTGTATATATATATATGTAACTCGAAACGACGTCGTAAATAAAACCCCCGCGACTTTATGTCGACGATGCGATAGCTTGGGCCATACTGTGGGCCGCTCACACTTTCAACGTTTCCAACGGTAAATTTAAATTATTGTATTTTATTTATTAATAATATACGGAAAAATAGAATCTCTATGTGAAATTTGATCTTTAATTTAAAATTTTAATTAAATTTAATTAAATTTACCTCAAACCCTAAATGGGAGAGTAGATGTGATATGGTTGAATTTTCAAACTTTTTAATGGTCACGCGTCTAGTTGGGAGGTGGGAGTAGATATTTATTGTTCTATTAAATATTAATTTTTTTTGTGATTTGTCGATTTAGTTTATAGGGTCGTGAGCATTGGTTCATACGGGTATGTATAGAGTGAGCGGGTGAGGATTTGGGCAGGGACAAGGACGGAGAACGTGATCCATGTCTTTAACCCTGTTTAGCTAACATGGAAAAATCTCTCTTTACTCCCTTTTTCATTTCCGGTACGATAACTCTCCACTACATTCAAGATGGGGTCCCTAGGCCCACGGGTTGAATGAATGTCTTAAACCACGAGAATGACAAAATTGATGATGATAGCAATTGATAAAGAGGGTATGGAAAAACAAGCCTCGTTCTTAAGAAAATTACGAGGAAATGAAAAACGTCACAGACTAGAAGCACGGTGGTGGGAGAACGAAGATGCTACTCTTTTGAAAACAACAAGTTTAAACTAGAGAATAGAAAGAAAAAAAAAAAAACGACCCACTAAGTCTCCTCTCGAAATAATCGTCCATTCATGTCTACTTTCAAACATAATGCTTTTATTCACTTTAGACTCCCTTTTTTCTCGAGACACATCGTTCGTCTAATAAGTTCAACTATGGAGCACTATGTCCCTGTCATCTTAACCTGCTACATGGGTAAGTCTATAACATAACCTTGATACACGTTAACGAAAACGAGCACTTTTCGCAGGTTTATAATATTATCCCGACATAAAATCTTAATAATTTAAAATTATTATATAAATAAATAAAATTATTATGGAATTACAATAATAATAATAATAAATAAAAAATACAAATAATTGATTATTATGGTAGGTATGAAAATTTCCCTGAAACTGGGTCCCACCCCAGTAACTACTTATTTTTAAATTTGAAATTTATGCCATCCAAGGTCAAGTCACCAAAATAAATAAATAAATAAAAGAATAAAAAAACAAAGCATCATATTTTCCAGCTATCTTGCGCCACAATTTTAAAGTAAGAATATGCTTTAATAATTATTTTAAATAATAATTAGAATCATTGTTTAGTACAAAAGTTAGAAATTTGCAGCCTACTAAATTAAAAGTCTCCACGTCAGATGAGGTTGCCACCGAATTTCCACCTCATTATCTTATTTTAAATTTTATTTTGTTTGGGTTGTTTAAGATACTTACTACTTTTACTTTATCAAATATTACCTACCATAATAATAATAATAATAAAATAAACTTTACATTAACTATTATATTATTTATAATCTGAGTTTGGTCTATATTATTATTTAAAAATGACCATTAATAAAAAAGCAAGAAAAATAAAAGATATTACTATAGTGGAGTATTATGTGTATTTTTTATTTTCCAAAAATGTTTTTAAAATTAAGAATATATCTAAATAACTTATACAAAAATTATAAAATGTAATTTAATTAAAAAATATACTAAATATTATTAATAAATAAATTTTTTTATTAATACTTTAATTTTTTTAAACTTATTTTTTTTTAATTTAATTAGATAGGAATATATAACCTTACTAAATATTTATACACATTTGAAAAATACCTACAAATTTTTTAAAATAATATTAATAAATTTAAATTTGTAAATATTAATTTAAAAAGATTTTACCTCGTAATCACAAATTTAGGAGATAATAATCTATCATCTGTAAATAAATATTTTTTCCGTTCATATTTTGATGAAAAAAACGGATATTAATAATTATTTTAAAATTTTATGCATATTTTAAATTAAAAAAAATTGAAAAGTTTAAATAATTTTTTTTAAAGCGTAAGAGTAAAATATTTTTGAAATTAAAAGTATTTATATTGAAAGTTGATTAGTATTTTTATTAATTTAACTTAAAATTATCGAGATTGCCCCCTAATCAATAATCCCGGGTCGGGTCGGGTCTCGTAAGATCCGATCAAACCCGAAAAACTATCTCGTCTGGCTATTGCCACACTATATAGTTCTGTAGACACAGGTCGCGGCAAGCTGAGGCGGGAACACATTTCGTTCGGGTTTTATTTCTGTATTTGTTTTGCAATCGTATCACTCTCAGAATTCAATCGAGAAGATGGGTCGAAACAGAATGTACTGGGATGATTCCATGCCTGTTAAGGCCATGGATGAATCTATGACGAAGTATAAGGTTATATCTCTCTCTTTCCATTTGTTAATTCTCTCTTTGCAGTATCCAAGAAGTGCTGTTGTAATCTGTCAATCTGAGATTGTGTTGATTTTGTCTTCGTTTGTTGCTTCGTGGCTTTGATACGAACAAATGTTGGCATTTTTCAGATAATGCATGGACAAGAAGCTGTCTGTGTTCCGGCCGAGGGAGGAGTTTTTAACGGTTGCGGTAAGAATGACGAGCCGAAGAGGTCCGTAGTTGTTTTGTATATAGCGCTTTTCTTGTTTTTTTTTTTTTTTTTTTTGTTGTTTGTGTCGGGCGTTAATTAAAAGAAGAGCGATTATTTAGAGGTTGTTGTTCATAGGGATCCAGTTCCTCTTCTTTATTGTCTTCCTAATCTCACATCAATATCAACTCCTGAGATCTTCCTCGGGTTTCAAAAAATTGGTAAGGTTACCCTTAATTCACCTTTTGAGATAAAAGATGAGTATGTTTTGGATTTTCATTTATTATTATAATAATAATTCGCGNTGTTATTGTAGTTATTTAAAGTTCTTGGAAGTTTTGTGATCATGTTAACGGGCAATGTTCTTGTTTCTGTTTGATCCTGTGAGTTGAAATGAAAGTGAAGGCGTGGATATTATAATATTTTTGGACCTTGGTTACATGTTTGTGAAAACTTTAAGTTTATGGCGTGGCTGCTAATTTTCGAGTCTTTAATGGTGGTCAGTGGATCAGTCTTGTTTACATTCAAGAACTGGAAGTGACCTTGGAGAATGTTTTATTCAAGATGAAAGACCTTGCTACTTGTGAGATCCCACATCGATTGGGGAGGAGAATGAAACATTTTTTATAAGGGTTTTGAAACCTCTCCTTAGTAGGGACATGTTTTAAAAATCTTGAAGGAAAGTCCAAAGAGGACAATATCTATTAGTGGTGGGCTTGAGTTGTTACAAATGGTATTAGAGCCAGACACTGGGCGATATGCCAGCAAGGAGACTGAGTCTTGAAGGGGAGTGGACACGAGGCAGTGTGTAGCAAGAACGTTGCCCCGAATGGGGGGTGGATTGTGAGATCCCACATCGGATGGGGAGTAGAACGAAACATTCTTTATAAGGGTATAGAAACCTCTCCCTAGTAGTCGCGTTTTAAAAATCCTGAGGGCAAGCCCGAAAGGGAAAGCCCAAATAGGACAATATCTGTTAGTGGTAGGCTTGGACTCTTACACTACTAGAGTCAAGCGAACCGATGAAAATGGTAAGAACATACTATTCTGGGAGGAGACATGGAGTGGAGATGAAGCTAATTTTCTATGTTCCCAAGATCTACATTTTGGCAGGTTGCAAACGCCATCGTACTAGTCGGATTTAGAAAGCTGATTCTGCCTCTTAGAACTATCTTTTATACAAAGCTTGAATGGGTATTATGGGATAAATAGATCTGGCATGAGAATTGAGTTTTGGCAGCAAACCTCTCCTAAAAGACTATCATCTTTGCAAGTAAGTTTGGAAGGGCTTTTACTTGTAAAAGGCGAAAAATCTTCATTTGGTAAGTCTAGTTGGGAATCTTTTTTCCCCATCGGGAATCCTTGATCTTGGCTCTTTCTATTGAGGATTTTTGCATTGATGAAGGTGGGGACGACTTCCTAATCCCACCTATATTCTTGATACCCTGACTTTCTAACTTCTACCCCAAGCTACTTATGGAGAATGCATAACTTTAAAGTTACAAGTCTTGTGGGCTACCAAGCTACTCTACCCCAGTGAACAGATTTCCCATCACCAAGAAAAACCGCACTCCATAAAGTTGAATGACACTTGAATGTTAGTCTTTTGATTTGATGCCTTGTCATATATGCTATATGGAGTTATTTTGACTGGTCCCAGATAACACTAGATTTTGGATCCTATGGAAGTTGGGGTCTTTGGCAACCATATAAACATTGTAGAAGAAGAAATGGGGAAGGCACTACCTCTTGGCCTCCAAGATATGGGGAAGGCACTTAAAGGCGTGCTAGGTTTAGTTTAGATATTCTGGAGGTGCGAGAAAGATTCAGCGGTGCAATTGCTTTTAGAATGTAGAAAAAGCAAGAACATTTGAAAAGTTATTAGAACGTTTTCTGTGGCTTTGAGAGAAAAGAAGTGATTTCGTAGAGGTTCAGGGTAGAATGATCATTGTTACTTTCCATTTCAATGTCCTTCTGGTCTGCAATTATGGAAGAGTACTATAAAATTTGGTTTTTTTTTTTTTTTTTTTTGGTCAAGACAAGCTAGAGGGCTCTATGTCACTCTCCCTAGGTCTTATTGTGGGGTCTGATGTAACAGTCCAAGTCCATTGTTAGTAGATATTGTCCTCTTGGGACTTTCTCTTTCGGGCTTCCTCTCAATGTTTTTAAAATGCGTCTTTTTTTAATATTTTTTTTATCTACTAGATGTGGGTTTGGGCTGTTACAAATGGTGTCAGTGTCAGACATCGGGCGATGTGCTAACGAGGAGACTAAGCCTTGAAGGGGGGTGGACACGAGACAATGTACCAGTAAGGAGGCTGAGCTTTGAAGGA